ACGAAGAAACTTACTTAAAACCATGAGTGCGCTGCCTGTCATATATAGTAAACACACAAGAAACATCAGGTGCTTCTGCGTCAGGCGCTTCTGATAGCTTGACTGTTTACCAGGTACGGTTCTCAATACGGAGCTCAAATGAGTGTGGAGCTCTACGATGTATTGAAATCATAAATCCAAGAGCCCCAACGGTCTCAGAGAAAGACTTTCCAAGACTCGTGCGGGTTGTCCGGAAAATACAGCGCCTGGCATCTGGCTGGCGGGAAGGGGCGGAGAGGGGCTGAGGAGGGTGGGGGAAGGGTCAAAGGGAGCGGCAGGAATCCAGGCGACCAAAGTGGAAGGACAGGATTAGGCGCTCCCCGGCGAAGGGCAGGGGCAGGACGCCTTGGCGTGAAGGGCGTGGCGTGGCGGGGCAGGCCAGCGAGTGCTGCGAGCTCAATAAAGAGAGGCGAGGACTGTCGCCAGTTCAAACCTCAGAAGAGCAGGTGGATGTCCGCGCCATGTTCGCGGCAATGGGGTCCCTAGCGGCGGCCGTCTGGACAGACCTCCATCCCTGCACTCTCCTGCTAGGTGCTGTCCTCTTTCTGGTCCTTGCCCATTTCTTCAAAACACGGCGTCAAAACAACTATCCTCCGGGCCCGCCGCGTCTGCCCATCTTGGGAAACTTCTTCCAACTGAACTTTGAGCAGCCACAGCTGTCGCTTCAGCAGGTAGGAGCGGGTGAAGGTGCTGGGTCGCGTGTTCTATCCCTGACCCGCAGGAAAAGGGCCATCCCGGGGACGGAGGGCGCGAGGATGGGTTGCCCTAGCGCTAATGCAAATGCCTTCGTAAACCCTTGGTAAAGCCTTGTTTTCCTCAGCGTAAACTGGCATGACTCCACCTGCTCTTTCTCGAGGTGAAATAGTGTTAACTGTACCATTTAACTGTGCTAGACATGTTACATTCTTCAACTTATTTAACTGTGTGCCTTGTTAAATATTATGAGAACATCCTATTGTAATATGATTACCTTGTCCTCTTTAATATTATTATCCTGGAAAAAAAACGCTATACTTTCTCAGACGTTCCATTTTCCCATTTGTAAAATGATAACACTACCTAAATTCTCACCACTTTCCAACTGAATCGCTCCCACTACCACAGTGACTGAGCCTCTCTTGATTGGCCTTTTCTACCTGAAGTAATCATTTTTAAATATCATCCCTCAATTTAAATTTTCTTAGCGCTTCTGGCTGCTAAGACTCCTCAGCAGAGTTCAGACAGCTTATGGAGCCACATGGAACCCTTATGACTCAGACTCTTGCCATGTCTTTGTAATCATCTCCCATCAGGACACCCTAACTGTGGCCACTCTGAATTCCTTAAAAATTTCTCCAACATCCAACACTTTCTGAAGAATCCTCAACTGGTCTCCTGCTTCTCAGCACAGGTACCTTGCTGAGAGACAACACTGTGCAAGATGGTTGTAAATAAAACAGTGAATGGTCAATATAACACCACTTATAGTAGACATGCTAAAAATATTAGTCCCCCTTTCCCTAGAAATGACTGGAGTACTTTAAACACATTCCTAGAGTCAAGTTGGAGATAGAGAAGGTTTTATCACCTTCTGAGAGAAACACCCAGTTGATAATGCTAACAAGATTAGTCACAGAATTTTAAAGCTAATCTGAAACTGTACCCTTAAGAAATGTGTTGTTTAATTTCCAAGTATTGGGACATTTTCCTGTTTTCTTTCTGGTAATGGTTTCCAGTTTGATTCTATTCTGGTCAGAGGACATACTTTGTATAATTTGAATTTTCTAAAATATGTTAAGGTTGGCTTTATGACCCAAGATACAGTCCCATGCATACTTGAAAAAAATGTGTACTAGTTTTGTGTGGAGCAGGTCCAGGCCTCTAACCCTGGCGTTGTTCAAGCCATCTGTATTCTGCTTTCACTGGGCAGTGTTCTAATACGTCAGTTAGACCTGATTGGATGATCATGTTATCTAATTCTTCTGTACCCTTGTTGACTTCTTATCTACTAATTCTATCGCTTACTAGGAGAGTCATGTTGAAGTCTCCAACTACAATTACACATTTGTCTATTTCTCTAGTCGGTATTGGTAGTTTTTCCTTATGTATTTGGCAGCTCTTTCATTTGATGCATACACATTAAAATTGTTATGTCATCTTGGTGAATTGACTCTTTAATTATTATATAATGTCCCTCTTTATCCCTGATGATTTTCTTTGCCTGAACTTTACTTTATCTGGTATAATATAGCCATGTCAGCTCTCTTTTGATTAGTGTTTACATGGTGTATGCTTCTCCATTCTTACCTTAACCAGTTTATATCGTTATATTTGAAATGAGTTCTTATAGATAGCATATAAATGGGTCATTTTTAAAATTCTGCTATTCTCTTTTAATTGGTGAATTTAGATGTAATTATATGTTGAGATAAGTCTGACATTGTATTATTTGTTTTCTATTTTTCTTTGTTTTTTTTATTCTTGTTTCTCAATTCCTGTCTTTCTGTGGGCCACTTGAACATATCTTAAGAATTCAATTTTAACTTAGTGTTTTTGAGTATCTCTTTGTATTTTGTTTTAAGTGGTTGCTCTAAAGATTGCAATATGCATATACAGCTCTTTGTCTACTAGTTTGAACATTTTACCACATCGAGTAGAATATAGATATCTTATGACTATTTAGGTCCCTTTATTCTCTCCACTTTATAATATAAATGTCTTAAATATTATGTCTACAACATAAAGCATTACGTCAGACAATATTATAATTTTGCTTTTAACTGTCAAACATAATTTTTTTAACTCAAGAGGAAAAGAATAGTCTATTATATTTACCTATTTGTTTACCCTTTCTGTTACTCTTTCTTCATTTCCAGTGTTCCAGGTTTTCTACCTTTGTCATTCCTTTCTATCTGAAAAACTTTATTAAGCCATTCTTTTAGAGCTGGTCTGCTGGCAAAAATATTCTCTTAGCTTTCCTTCATTTAACAATGTCTGTTTCACCTCCATTTTCTGAAGTACATTTTCACTGGATATAGAATTCTACATAGACAATTTTTTTCAGTCTACATTTTAAGATGTTGTACTAGTTATTTCTGGCCTCTGTAGTTTATGATCAGAAATCTGTTGTCATTTAAATCGATTTTTCCCATAAGCAATGAGTTATTTCTCTCTGCCTGCTTTCAGGAACTTTTCTTTGTTTTTAGTTTTTAGAGATTTGATTATGATATGTCTTTATGTTGAATTCTTTGGGTTTATTGGGTTGACTCAATCTAGATCTATAAGTTTGTCTATCACCAAATTCGAGATGTTTTCGGCCATTTCTTCAACTTTTTTTCAACTTTACATGTATTTTCTTCTCCTCTGGGACTCTTGGACACTGGTGGCACAAATGTTAGATCTTTCATTATTCTAACATAGGTCTCTGAGTCTCAGTTTTTGTTCTTTTTCAATCTATTGTCTCCGTGTTGTTCAGATTGGATACTTTCTATTGATCTGTATTCAATTACTAATCTGCTGTTGAGATTAATCTGAGTTTTTGTTTAGGTTATTTTATATTTCAGCTCTAAAATGTCTCTTTGGTTCTTAAATCCATTTTCTGTTTCTGTGTTAACAATTTCTATTTTTGAAATTTTTTTCAAGAGTGTAATTGTTCGTCAAAACATTGGCATTCAGTAAGATGAAATTAAAGATCTAGTTCATTAATATGGACCCGTCCCCTGCCATTTCTTAAAAGCAAAGACATATACTTTAGAGGCAGATCAGTTTGAGATAGATCCTTGGCTCTGCCTTTTCTAACAAGATAGGGCATACTGTGCCAGAGATGAATGGAACAAAGATTGATGGAAGACTCTGGGCCAAATGAACAATGGAGAAATTGAATTCAGGCTCAGTTTTTCATGTGAGAGCAGGATGATGGTGGAATGAGACTAAATCCACTGTATTTACTCTGATGGGGGTCACGGGGTCCAGGGCACTAAGGGCGACATGGATGTGCATGGAAATCAGGGAGGAGGGGCCACAGACACCTGGGGGAAATGGAACCCTTCTATTTGATTCACTGCCTGCACCTAGACACAGCCCAGTAGACAAAAGGAAAAGGCCAGGTCTTCTGAGAGTTGTCTCTTGAACAGACAGATCAGGATTGGATTGGTGACCATTCACTGTCATATATCCCATCTTGCACATATGTGCACCTTTGTGCATGCTCATGACATACCCACACACTCTTCCATTCTCTGCTCCCTGCCCCTGTCTCATTCTCACTTCCACTCTAACTCCCACTAAATTCTAAGGTCCTGGCGCCATCTCAGGTTCATGTTCTTGCCCTCGAATCTTACATAATTCCTGACAAATCTCCTCCACTACTCAGTAGCTTTTGTCACCTTGGCTGTTACTTTGGCTACAACTCATTTTCCTTTTCTGAAAGATGAAGAAAATCATTATTACTGAGGGCGTCTGTGAGATTAAATAAGATAAAATGTAAAGGATACTTCATATGATACCTAGTGAACGTGGCCGTCTGTGACCATGAGTGCCTTCCTCCCACACATTCGGGTGCTCTGGTCTTCTCTGTCGCCATGAGCACGCATCTGCATTCCTTTGCACACAGAGCCCGTTCATTCCTCAGAGACTTGAATGACTGTGTGCCAGTTACCAGAAAACAAAGTGCCTTTCACACTGCTGCTCTCATTATTCCTTACAGAACCCTTAAGGGAAGCATCATTTTCTCCCTTTTGTAGCTGAAGAGCTGTCTCTAAAAAAAGTGAAACAACTTTCTCAAGAGCCCACACCTAGTGAATCATAGAGCTAAAATTTGCACACAGCTCCAGAGCTAGAGTGCTTTTCTCCACATCTGGCCCAAGCCCTATAATGAATTTTCGATCTTCTAGCACATGTCAAGGGAGGGGACATTCTCTTTTTGTTAAACAGATATGATTTACTAAGTAGTCCATGCTTGCTACACTAGACTTACATGAAACAGATCTCAACCTTCTCATGGTCAGTTACATGTGCTGAATTTTCTCCCTTCACTAAACTCTAAGATGCTTGAGGTTAAAGACCTTGTTTATTTTATTATAGTTATATCTTCATAACTCATTCTTAGGGCAATGGTAGATGTTTACTCAATTCATATAGGTTGACTATGCGGATGAATGTTTTATAAGGTATGTTCACATCCTACAGTAAATCAAATGCAAGTCTTATGGAGAGGAGAAAAGGAAACAGGGAGAAACATTTCCAACAGACCAAGAAGTTCTCACACACGCATGCACACACATACTGCCCTTGATACAAGCTCCCCTGGCTGTGCACACTCTTTTCTTTCCTGGACACAGAGATATGTGTATATTCAACTATGACTATTTAACTGTTTTTCAGTATGTAAAGAAATATGGGAATGTTATGAGACTGGAATTTGGTTACACATCTTCAGTTATTGTAACTGGATTGCCCTTAATCAAAGAAGTCCTTGGCCACAAGGAACAAAACTTTGTGAACCGCCCCATACTGCCTATTCGAGAACGTATCTTTAAGAACTGTGGTAAGTTTCTTGACCGATGTAAGATGTGTATGTTTAATATTCTTAAGATCTATTAAAGGTGCCTCCGTGACTGTAATTCCCAACACTTCCCAGAGACCAAACCCAATATAAAATCTTGATGGATGTTCACACTTCCCTATTGAAGGCACCCTCTCAAAGGATTTGGCAGGGTCAACCCTAATGTCAGGGATTTGGGAAAAGCTGCATCTGCTGCATGAACTCATTCCAGATGCTTTGGTAAGCAAGTAACCCATCATTCGATGATAGCGGAGAAAGAGGCGATATATTCACTCTTACTGGTTTCCCATTCCAAATCTCTTCCTGCAGGAAAATTGACATGAATCTGCTTCTGCTGCTTATGTAATTCCTTCTTCTTGCCTCTAGTTCTTTATGCTTTATCATTAAGGCTGTTTCATACAAGGTATCTTGAGCCTTCTAGTCTATGTTAGAACAGTTTAGCATGAATACATTAAATTATCATTAACTAAACTTAAACATTTAAAAATCTAAATGAAAAACTCAAGTCTATTACTCTACTAAAGCATTTTTTCAGGTGCTTCCTGATTCCTCTTTGAAATATTTTATCCATTAACTCTATATCCATTTACTGTATTTATTATCTGCCATATGAAGTGCAGTGCTATGCATCGATGATATAACAGTGAATAGAACAGATCAAACTATTCTATGTCCTTAGGTAAGTCAAATTTTGTTCAGAGAGAAAGACAGTATCAATTAACTATAATAATTTAAAGCCTTAGTATTATGAAGATAAGTGCAGGATGCACCTACTAGAAGTATCTATTCTAGTCCTGAGATTCAAGAAAAAACTAAAGTAAGTAAGTAAATGACAATTTAATAAAGCGAAGGAGCAATCAGACAGAGTGAATAGAATATAAAAAGTCTCTGAGGTGGGAAGAAGGACAGTGAACTTGAGGAATTAAAAAAAGGGGCCAATGTGGCAAGGACAGAGATCAAATGGAGATGAAACTGCTAAGCTTGGCCAGGAATACTTCATGCAAATATTTGTTAAGGATGTTCGTTTTTCTTAATAACAATGAAGCTCTTGAATGGTTCTCAGTAAAGAAAGGAATCATCATATTTATACTGTATATTTTAAAAACTTATTTGGGCTGCTCTGTAGAGAATGGAATAAAGGAAGCAAGAGACTTGTAGCATTTTAGGTTAAAGAAAGCTATAGCTTGGGCTAGGGAAGGGACAAGAAATGACAATATAGTAGGTTAAAGTAGGACAGTGGTAGTGAAGGTACATGAATTTAAGATATTCAGAAGGTAAATCCAATGAGACATGGTGACCTAGATGGAGGGAGGATGAAGTGTTGAGGTAGACACCCAAATGAGTAGATGATGGAAAGAAGGAACACTCGGAGGAGGACAAAGTGTTTGGTTTGGCTTAGGTGGGGAGTTGTATGTAGAAAAGCATGAATTCAATCATGGATATGCTGAGTTTGAAATGCCTTTAAGTTAGCAAAATCAAGCAGACAGTTGTATATATGTGTCTGGAGCTCAGGGACAGAAATAGATGGTCATTATTAATATTATTTAAAATTTTAGGAGTTGATGAGATTTCCAAGAAATGGAGTATAGGATGAGAATAGAAGGCCTTATATTGAAGAATTCCTTCATTTCAGAATTTGGTAGAAGAAGGTGAATGAGCGAAAGAGATGAGAAGTTCTCTGCTGTAGGAAGAAAATCTGGAGAGTGTGGTATCCTGAGTATTGTTGAAAGAGTTTCAAGAAAAAAAAAGTGTCTCATGTTCCTGAAAGACTAAGTAAGATGAGGTTGAAAAGTATCCCTGGATTTTACAGCAAGAAAGGCCATTTCATTGAGACAGTGGAGGCCAAAGCCAGATATTAAAAGGAGCTGAAGGGTGCTCTAGAAGTGAAGAAATAAAAGGAGCGTAGACTTACCTGTGTTATAAAACAAATGATGGTCTGTCGAACACACCAAGATGGTTTTTTTTGACTCTGCCTGCATGGAATATTCATTCTTCGTTTTCTTCAGTCATTTCTTCCTCTATTAGGAACCAGCTTAGATAGGACCTCTCCTGTGACTTTAAAAGCCTTACCTCTTAATCCATTAGTATGAATATGAGTGCATACTAACAAGTGTCTTACATATGAGTGCATTCTTAGTACATAGCATAATATAAATATTTAAATATTCCTTATGTCACTAGTAATCTAAGTATGGGCTTTGGAGTCACGCATACCTGAACTTGAATGCCTGTTCAGTGGCTTAGTAACTCTGTGACCTTGCAAAGTTTATTTTATTCCTGTGCCTCAGTTTTCTCATCAGCAAAATGGAAAGGGGGTAATAATTGTATCAACCTCATAGAGTTTCTGTGACTACTAAATTACATAATGCATAAAAAATACTAAAGTGCTTGGCATTGCAAGTAGTCAGTACATGCTAGTGATTGTATCCATTGCTTTAGGATTATTTCTCTGAATAGTTTTCAAATGCCTAATGCCCTTATCCATCCCTTTATTTGATACACGTCCATTTGTTGGCTTTCTTTTTATAATGTTGCTTTCTTTTTCCCAGGATTGATTATGTCCAATGGCCAGGCATGGAAGGAACAAAGAAGGTTCGCCCTGACAACACTGAGGAATTTTGGTTTAGGAAAGAAGAGCTTAGAGGAACGCATGCAAGAGGAGGCCTACCACCTCACCCAGGCAATGGAAGAGGAGAATGGTGAGTATTTCTTAGGACAAGTGCAAGAGACTGTGGCTCATTCATTCACTGAACAGATACTCATTGATTACTTTTAATGCCTATCATGTGCCCAGCACTGTGTTAGGCCTTGAGGATATAAATGTAAACAACTAACCAGAACTCTGCCCTCATGAAGTTCTCAAATTAGGCACAAGAAGACAGACATTATATACATTATTGATTTTAAACCCTGGTCATTAGTTTGACTTCCCAGGCATTAACTGACAACCTGCTGTATGTCATACCCCGTGTACAGTGCTGTGACCAGAGTCTCAGATGTTTCTGTACTTGGTATGTCATTTGTCATATAGACCCTCAGTAGAGAACAGAAACAAACCAATCTGAAAGATTCATCTTTTCTTTCACCTCCAGGACAGCCTTTTAACCCACATTTGAAGATCAACAATGCAGTTTCCAATATTATTTGCTCCATCACTTTTGGGGAGCGCTTTGAGTACCAGGATTATCAGTTCCAAGAAATGCTGAAGATGCTAGATGAGCTCACACATCTGGAGGCGTCAATGTGGTGCCATGTAAGGAGTTCTTTTTTTATACCTTGGTTAAGGATATTGGGTCTGATGTCAGACACAGATGAGTTTTTTTAAGCTAAAATATAACCTTTTAAAATTGACTTCAACACAAACTTACTTGAATTCAATCTGTGATTCTAGTGTTTTTGATAATAAATATTATATAGTAAATGTTTTACTACATAAAAAGAACATTTCTAACAGTCATGTAAAGCCATAAACTTTGCATTGCATACATCTTTATTTCTATGTTATTTTATTTTAAAAGCATAATAGTGTCATTGCCTTTGAACCTCTCCTCTCCATGTCCCTCCTTAACCCAGCCATCTCTCTCCTCCCTCAGAAGTACTCTTCTGTGCTTGGTTTCTCCTTTGGCAGATTATTAGGAGATTCATCCTGTGTTAGTTGCTCTTTTAAAAAAAATTCTGAATAGTACTCCATTTTATGAATATGCCATTGTTTGTTACTCTATTCTCTGTTGATGGACATTTGGGTTGTTTCCAGGTTTTGGATGTTATGAATAAAGCTGCCATGAACATTCTAATACAATTGTGCATGTAGCCACATCCACTCATTTCTCTTGATTGTGTGTGTGTGACACACACACATACATACCTAGACATAAAAGATGTCTAGAGGTTTCCAAAGTGGTTCCACTATTTACATGTCTGTCAACAGGAATTTATCAGTATCCTAATTTCGTAGAATAAAAATACTTGGGGTTCAAACCTCACCCCTTACTTTGCGGCCCTGCACTCCATTTTTGTCCCTTGAGGCTTATAAGTCTGTCAAAAACTATTCAGCTTCTTGGTCTCTCAGCCACTTTTCTAGATTTGGAAGACAATTTTGGGAAAAATTGGCCCCAAGTGTTGAGGTCACTTGTCTGGTATCTAGAAGTGGATTTATTTTTATTTACTCCTGCCAAGCATCCTTGCCTAGAGCTTTATGGATCCATCACACCAAAATGGGTAAAGCAGTTAGCATGATTACTGGCACATGAAAAGGACATAATGAATGTGAGCAATTATTATTATTGCCAAAGTTATTTTTTAAGTCCTTGTTCTCACTTCTAGTCATGGTAGTCCCCAGTTCAGTAGTTCCATTTTTGTCCTTCCTATTAAGACAGAATCTAGGAAGTCATGAGAGTTCAGTGGGTACCCAGCTGACTCTCCCCAGGGAAAAAAATTCCTGGAGGGTAGTAAGGGGCAGTAGAGTAAGGGTAATAAGCATTTCTTGGAGTCCCAAAATAGACCAGGCACTTTGATGGACAGCTAAACATACTTTATCTCAACTAACTTTCACAACAATCCTTTAAAGAAATAAAGCATCATGACGTGTGCAGGCAGATATGGGAGTGTGTAAGCAAGTCCAGATAGTGGTCCATTGGCTCTGTGTTAAGTATTTAATGGATCCCACGTCATTTGGTCACCAGAATAACTCTGGGTCCCCAATGGCAGATAGTTATACTAAGGGGTAACAATTTACATCATCATCATCATCATCATCATCATCATCATTATTTCCAAAGTATTATAGCTAGAAAGCAGCAGACCTAATAGCCAAACACATGTCATGTCTTAAGTCTAGGTGATATACCATTATGTTATGCTATCTGTTTTCTACCAGATATTATTAGAGAAAATATATTCAAAACTACTTTATTTCGGTAACAATGTCTCACCCACATGGAGATGCCCCCATAGTGGAGACAGGCAAATACATATATATGTTTAATAAATATATATATAAAACACATCTACATACATATATACATACATATATATCACATAAACATATATACACACGATAATGATAATTGCCATGAAGGAAAATAAAACAAGATAAGGGAATGGAAAGAGAGTGGCAAGGATGCTGCCACTTACAGGATCATCAAGTAAGACTGTTCCAAGTAGATGACATTTAAGCAGCATTAGTGAAGTGAGGTGCTGGAACTCCAGATTTCAGAGGAAGAACGTTCTAGATGGAAGGAATAACAAATGTGAAGTCCTCAACAAGGACATTCTTGGTGTCATTACAGAAGTAATGGGTCTAGACTGGAGAAAGTAAGATGACAGAGAGTGATAGCAAAGGATACAACAGGTGGGTGCAGGAGCCAGTTCACAGAGAGTTTATATACCCAGAGAACGATGCAGAAGTTTGTCTGCATGTCATGGGAAGTCATTGAAGAATTGAGAACCAAAAATTGCAATGTTCTGATTAAACTGTTACATGCTCACTTCTGGCAAATAGCCTGGGAATGGGGTTAAGAAATCGAACAGAGGCTGTTACAGCATCTAGATAAGAAAAGGTAGTTTGTGCTAAGATGGCAAAGCAGTTGGGGTGGCGAAAGGTGGTCTAAAACTGGACATATTTGGGATGGAGTGCTGAAATGCTTTGCTGGAGGGATGAAAAGAGGGACGAGAGATAAGAGTCAAGATCTAAGTGTAAGCAAACAAGAGCTAGAATAAAACGTTTCTGTTGTCTTAAAAAGTGGAAAACTGGCACCCTATTGTCTCTGTGATTGTTTTGTTTTTTCTCGATTAGTTTTACAATATCTTTCCAAGGATAATGAAATTCCTTCCTGGACCTCACCAAACAGTTTTTAGCAATTGGGAGAAACTGAAATTGTTTATTGCCTGTGCAATTGAAAACCACAAGAGAGATTTTGATCCTGCCCAAACAAGAGACTTTATTGATGCATACCTCAAGGAAATAGAAAAGGTGAGGAAACCAAAGTTGTTACCTGTGTTGTCTTTAAAGAACAAATGGGGATGTACTCATTTCCTATTGATGCTGTACAAATTAACCTAGTGGCTTACAGCAACACACATTTATTCTCTTACAGCTCTGCAGATCAGAAGTCTGAAAGCAGTTGGACTGGGCTAAAGTCAATGTGTTTGTAGGGCTGGCTCTTTTGAAAGCTGTATGGGAGAATCTGTTTCTTTCCCTTTCCTAGCTTCCAGAGGATATTGAATTGCTTGGCTCATGGCTCCTTCCTGCATCTTCAAAGTCATTCATGTAGCATCTTCTCTGTTACCATCCTTACATCTTCTCTTTACGACCCTCTTCCCTCTTGTGATTGTAGTGGGCCCACTGGGATTTTTCAGGATAATCTTCCCATCTCGAGATCCTTAACTTAGTCATATCTATAAAGTCCCTTTTCCTATGTAACATCCACAAGATCCAGAGATTAGACATGGACATCTTTGTGGGTCTTTATTCAACCTATTACAGGGAAGTAAACATAGAAGCAGTATTTCATAGAGTAGAAGAGTAGCATTAAGCCAGGATGGATGAGGCAATTAGAAATAAAGGTAGGGATTCCATGATATTTGGCTTGAGGCTTTGGGAATGCCCAAATACTGCCTTTCATACTTCTATTCTCTACCCTCTATCCATACCTGAAGGAGCTATATGAAAGAGCTATATGAAGGAGCTATCAGAAAAAGGAAAAATAAGAACTGAGCCTCAAAGCATTGTCTCATTATTAGTTGGAACTGTGCCCAGTTACCTACTCCTTCCCTCAGTCCCCAGAGTAGAGTGCAAATAAAGCTGAACTGGATGCCTGAGTTTATCTTCAAGGCCTGAGTGGGACCCCATATGATCCACTTTCCAAAGTTATAGGGAAAAACAGGGTAGGGGAAAGCCTAATTGGATGTGTAGCTTATAACACAATAACCCTTCTGATTAATATATATCACTGCATCAGTGTCATAATTTTTGACTCATCACCTTATCTCTTCCTACTGTGGAAGTTGGCAGGATGATAGGTTTCTTTCTCATCTCCTCTCTTACTTCACCTTATTGTCATAATATTAATAGAAGCATTGATTTCTTCTCAGAGGAGACTTCACTTGCTATATGGTGTACAGGTATGGGACCACGGATTAAGAGGAACGTTGACAAATTGAAGCTTGTAGAGGAAGGTGGTAAAGATGATGAAATGCCATGAGGAATGGTTGATGGAATTAGAGAGGTTTCACCTGGAAGGAAAAGATTAACTGAGAGATATTAAAATTATTGTACATAAGAGGAATTCAGTTTTTTCTTTATAGTATCAGTATAAATGTTTGTTGAGTATTTGCTGTGTGCCCTTTGCATCTTACATGATTCATCTTTGATTCATCAAAGATTACATAATGTCATCTTTAGGGGTGTGTTTTGTTATTCCTATTTTATAAAACAGGAAACTGAAGCACAGAGAGGTTAAGTAACTTGCCCTGGGTCACAGAGATAGTGAACGTTGTGGCTAAAATTGGAACCCAAATCTAGCTCTCTACTGTACTAATAGCTTCTTTCCACTGTACTAATAGCCTCTCCAAAATTATAGGCATAAAAATTAGTTATCTTGATTTTCATCCACCCAAACTAACAAAAGCTTCTAGCACTTGGGGCAGGACAGTGCTAATGATATTGCTGCAATAAGACTCTGCCTCCTGAGGAGACTGAAGGCAAAGCCCATTTCTCCTAGGGATCGTTCCTTCCACATTCTCTCCCTAGGATGAAGCCCCTGTGTGATGGCAACCAAGAACCCTCTGAATAAACTAATAAACTTGGTGTTTTCTAGCATAAGGGCAATACTACTACAAGTTTTCATGAGGAAAATCTCATCATCTGTACCCTAGACCTCTTCTTTGCTGGAACGGAGACAACTTCGACTACTCTGCGCTGGGGTCTGCTTTACATGGCCCTCTATCCAGAAATCCAAGGTGAGCATGTCAGTGGGTATGCCTAGGAACATGCTGAATGGTGCCACCTGGAACATGCTGCACCAGAGCTGAGAGCAGAAGATAGCATGGTAGAAAGGAAAGATGGGTAGGATGGTCGTGAGGCAACATGGACTTGAGAAGGAGCACGTTCTTCAGTTTTTCGGGATTGTGATGGATCCGAGAGTCCCTGGCCTCAAAAAATTCGGAGTCTAGTGAGGAAAATGGTGAAGTTAATTGACATTGTAGTGGGTTCCAGGAAAGAGTTGCAGTCTCACATGAATTCTGGTCCTAGGGGAGGTTTGATGTCAGACAATACAGAAAGAGAGAGAGAGAGAGAGAGAGAGAGAGAGAGAG